GGCTCATTTCCTACATATTAGGAAGTGTGTACCTTCATGAAACTCAGCAAGACCTTCTAGGATTACTAGCTCTCACAAATGATTTGGGTAGTCAAAATAGTAAAGTATTCAGAAACTTTTTTAAAAAATTCAAACACTCAGGGAGAATTTCAGAGCATCTAATTTGAATGTGTCAGCTGAAGCAGGATTCATTCTCCAATGGTTGTATCAAACATTGCATGGAGGATTGACCCAACTTCACACAGTAAATGAGAATACATCATTTTCTCCCACCTTTCCTCAACACAAGAGAAAAACTGTTCATTTTCACAACAGATTTCTTGCATATTTCTATTAAATGCTTGATTTGGGGAATGCATGAATGATGGCTTTGCTATATGAACAAGTAAAAGTAGTGCCAGGGTGTCTTTGTAATTACCGTAACCAGTATGTCTTTGTGTGTGCCCTTAGCTTGTCCTCATGTGTAACTTGTATTCTGGGCAAAAAGCCACCATTAGGACATAATAAAAAGAGACAGAATGGTCTCCTGCAGGGAAAGCTGTAACACTGACAATGAAGAAATTGATGTACTTAGAGGTTTTGTATACCTTGGTTCAATCACAATCCAAATGGGGACTGCAGCCAAGAAATCAGAAGAAGACTAGGACCCCGAAGGGCAATACCCCAGACTGCCAGAAAGACTAACAAACAGGTCCTAGATAAAACTGAGCCTGAACTATCTTTACAGGCAAAAATGTTGCTTCCTACTTTGGGTATATAATGAGAAGGCAAGGTTCTCTGGAAAAGACAATAATGTTGGAAAAGCTTGAAGGCAGCAAGAACAGTGGAAGACTAAATACGAGATGGATTGATTCCCTAAAGGAAGCCACAGGCTTGAGTCTACAAGAGCTGAGCAGAGGGTTGTTGGGAGACAGGACATTTTGGAGATTGGTCATTCATGGGATCACCCACTTAGGAGTGACTTAATGGCACATATAACAATTAGCTTCACAAATGTAAAAACGCAACAGATGCACTTATGCAAATAATATATTGTGCAAATTGTGACAATCATGATGGCAAAAGTACAATTGGCAACTTGGTTTCATGGCACAGCTGAGATCTCTCAAGTAGGTTGAAGAATCCCTGACATGGTGTTTGACCTTGGCACGGCGGCCAATCTCAGCCGGAATCTCAGAGATTTCCTCACATCCCTATCTATAGCACCATTTTGGACATTATATTTGGAGCAAATATTAGCACTTCAATGTAAAGCTGAAAATCAGTATCATGATGAAGCTAGATATAATTTGCAACAGTTATGACCTAGTGTTTTTCTCCAGCCACGCTCTATTTCAGCTTTTGCAGGAAATAAACTGTTTTTCTGTCTAAAGCTGATCCCACAGCTTTTCTGCAGCAGTTTATATGATCATCACCTCTGTAAGGGAGGGAAAGGAATCTGCTTTACCTAGATTTTTAAAATGAAATTGTCCACTTTGTCATCTGCAAGACCATTTTGGTGGGGAAAAACTTACACAGCTTCCCACTGTTAGAAGAAACCTTGAGTATCAGATCTTTTGGTTTTATTTTCAAATTCCAAAATTTTCAAATTATAAGTAAATGTGCACAAGTAAAAATGAGAAATACTTAAAAATACAACACTTAAAAATACAATACACACACATAAAAACTATGTGTGTAGAAATGCATATACTAGGAGAAGCACAGCACATACATAAATATCTATCGGGTTATATGTAGCAGGTGAACTGAAAGGTGGGGCAATAAATGCAGAACTTGGACCACATAGGAATGGTGGTGGGATTCTGAGTAATACAAAGAACACCAGCTTTTGTCTACCTTATTACTATGGCATTTGGAATCCACCAATCCTGCACTATTTGTAAAAGAGCAGCTACTACTACTGCATTTTCTTCCTTGTCTGGTACTGCAGTGACTTGTATTCCTGTGTCCAAGTCTCAGAAATATACCAAGTGCAGTAACTAAAAGTGAATAGTGGAAATGCTTTTTATCAACAAATATCGTCTTGTAAGTTTAGGGCAGGGGTCTCAAACTCACGGATGATTGTTTTTGGGCCCCACCTTAATATGAAAGTTTAATGTTAGTGTGGCTTGCAAGTTTGATATGTATGGCACTTTACACTGAACGAACCTACCAATCACGGTGGGGTATATGGCCCTTTGGGGCAGGACATTGGCCAGGCTTAATGTGAGCAGAGATACATTTCTCAATGAGTGAAAGTTACAGCAGTGTTGCCATGGAGTGTTTTCTTCCATGCCTGGCTGGCTGCCTCGTTTCTATTGGGCACACACAGACAGTTTGTGCCTCGTTTCTATTGGGCACACACAGAATTGTTCACAACAATTCAAAAAAAGTTTTTTTAAGTTGCTGCCCAGTGGGACATTATCTGTATATATAAATGTACGCACACGCACATGCATGCGCACACACACACATGCACGCACGCACACACATCAATGGCACTTAGAGAGTTAATATGAGGTCTCTCATTCTCTCTGACAAAATAAATCGAAGTGATGTGTATGTGGCAGGATAAAAGAAAAGTAAGGAAATCAATGCAGCCTAATGTAGTGTGCAGTCACATAGCGACACCTGTTCATCAGCCATAAGAGTCCCCGGTAAACCGGACCAATTATACGCTTGCACCGTTATTTGTGGGCCATTGTTTTTTTATTTGAAATGCGCTATTTGCACTGCCTCACACAATGAACATTACATATACGTATTTCTATATGATGTAAATGTAGTCAAACAAATGATATCAACAATAGCATGGCGTCATTTCCGCTTCTTTTTCCTGTAATAACAGCATGGTGGATAACAGTCCGTGAGCAGTTCTCATTTTTGCGTTCGCTGTCTCGGTACTTTCTACCATCTACAAATGCCATGGTGTTCATGTCATCATGAAAGACATGAACACTGGGTGTAAAAACAAAGCTACCGGGCTTTTTTTCTGCCAATCGCCATGCTGCGGTTATAAGAAAAAGAAGCAGAAATGACTTTCTCCATGCATTGATACTTTTGCCATGCATTGGCTAAACGCATGATTGAAACTTCAATGTGACAGTGACACCAAGTGGAATTATATATACAGCGGTGTCCCGCTTGATGACAATAATCCGTTGAGTTAAAATCGCTGTTAAGTGATATCGTTGTCAAGCGAAAGAAAAAAAACCCATTGAAATGCATTGAAAACCTGCTTCACAATGAAATCGCTTCACCATTATCATCATCATCATCATCACTGATAAATTCGCTTCACAATGAAATCGCTTCACCATCATCATCATCATCATCATCATCATCACTGATAAATTTATTTATTTTATTATTAATTATTAATTTGTTTATTTTTTTTCATCTTATTTTGTGTTTAAAAATAAAAATAAAGAGATTTTTGAAGATTGGAATTTTTTTAAACAAAGCTTTTCTTGTGGAAAACCTGATGCGGCCCAGCCTCACCCAGATTCTGCCTCCAGCGGCCCCCAGGTAAATTGCGTTTGAGACCCCTGGTTTAGGGCCATACAGGAGATAAGATCCTTGTAGAGCTTGAGCTATTACATATGGTTTCATTTATAGCATCTGCAAAGTACGGTACATTGTAGTTGATGAATTTGTAGTTTATAGCTTTCAAATAAACTCAGCTTTCAACAGGCTTCAAAAATGAAGGCAGAAAAACAATTATTAGTCTGAACTAGAGTAGACCCTTTGAATCAGTGGGAAGCTACTAGTCAGCTCTTACATAAATGCAGTGGATTCTGTGGCCAGAATCCTGTTGGCTTTCACTACTGTAAGTTGTTATTGTTTAGTCGTTAAGTCATTTCCAACTCTTCGTGACCCCATGGACCAGAGCACGCCAGGCCCTCCTGTCTTCCACTCCCTTCCAGAGCTGGGTTAAATTCATGTTGGTAGTTTCAATGACACTGTCCAACTTTCTCGTCCTCTGTTGTCCATTACTCCTCTTGCCTTCACTTTTTCCCAACATCAGGATCTTTTCCAGAAAGTCTTTACTTCTCATGAGATGGCCAAAGTACTGGAGCCTCAGCTTCAGGATCTGTCCTTCCAGTGAGAACTTAGGGCTCATTTCCTTCAGAATGGACAGGTTTGTTTTCCTTGCAGGGAACTCTCAAGAGTCACCTCCAGCACCACAATTCAAAAGCATCTGTTCTTCGGTGGTCAGCCGTCTTTATGGTCCAGCTTTCCCTTCCATACATCCCTACTGGAAAAAAAACATAGCTTTGACTATGCAGACATTTGTTGGCAAGGTGATGTCTCTGCTTTTTATGATGCTGTCTAGGTTTGTCGTCGCTTTCCTCCCAAGAAGCAGGTATCTTTTAATTTCGGGGCTGCTGTCTCCATCTGCAGTGATCATGGAGCCCAAGAAAGTAAAATCTGCCACTGCCTCCATATCTTCCCCTTCTATTTACTAGTGTAAGTACACGGGCATAAATTGTCACAGCAAATTGCCACTAGCTAACAAGTTTCCACTTGTATCCCTCTTCACGTGCCAGGTAGGAATGCAGTAAAAGATACGAACAGCAACTGGCACCAATTTGCTGCTGCACTTTGTACTATTTTACTTATGACACTGGCACTAACTGATGCAATTCTGGCCAATAGGTGTACACTGGCTATGAATAACAAGTGAATTTAGGTCTGAGTCTTTTGGAAATGGTAGTAGCAAACTGCACAAATGCATCAACTGCGGCTTATACTTCAAAGGCAACTAAACAATACTCTTTTTATAGCTTGTTTTAAAATCTTCATCCACACAGACCCCTGGAACAAAAGGCTTCCATCAATGAGAGGAGCCCTTCTTCTCACAGGAGACAACATCTGGATGTAAACACACATTGGGAAGCATTTTATTCTTTCAGGACAAGCCATCCTCTGAGAGCAAGGAGGAGGAGCTTGTAGAACACTGCCTCTGCCTCGGTGTTCCAGGGAGAATGTGTGCTCATAATGGGTTGCCAAGGGCACCAAGCTAAGCAAAGATGCAACAGGAGCCTGAGGAGAGCAAGGTGGCTGTGGCAGGGCAGTGCTGACCATGGCCAATGGGTACCAGCTTTGGGCCCCCTGGTCCCCCCTGGATGAGTCCCTGCAATGGCTGCGGGGTGCCGTGCCCAAGCCCAGCACCACTAAACACCCTTTTCGAGGTGGGCACAGCCCAGCTACTGTAACAGACCTCGAGGTGCAGCTTGGCTTCCAGGGGCTCAACCAAGGGCTGGTGCCCCCTACAAAGCCTGGAGCCAAACCACCACCTGCTGGAGAGACCAAGGGTTGCACTGGAGCTGTGCACAAGCCTCAAGCTGTGAGGCTTACAGGACTTGACTCCATCTTTGGGCATCTCGTGACAGCACAGCCTCCGCACTGGACTGGTACCCTGAGGGTTTCAGAGCGCTCCGCCTTCTGCCAAGTCATCGGCCGGCAGCAGCACAGACCACGTGGGCTCCAGGAACCACAAGTGCGCCTAGCGATGGCCATGTGCCGCCAAATGCTGCGTGCCATCCTTCTGCTTTATGCTGCCTACAAGAAGTGTGCCTTTGCCCTGCAACATTCCCGGTAACGCTGCCATAGCTGAGAAAGGATGAGTCACACATGATCCTTGCCTGTCAAAGAATTATTAAGACTATTCCCGGACAGGAACCTCTTCTCTTTCGGTGACATCAGCATGCAGGTGCCTCAAAAGTCAGCCTACTTCCTAGTTTCTCCATAACTCCTCAGTCAAATTCTGGCCACCAGGATGGAGGACGTACCTGTATTCTATTCAGAGTAGCACTTTGGATTCTTTTGCAGAGAGATTAAACCACCCACACATTAATGAATTCTTTTGTTAAGATTCCAAACAGACATTTACAAAATGTTGTGTACCTATTGCTTTGCATCAATGGAAGATACAGAATGGCCTAGAAATGGACAAGAAATAGAATGGTTAAAGTCTTCTATAAGTACATGAATGAAATGGAAAATGGAATTCAGATGGGGGGAAATTATATGCATTTTCACTGAGAAACAATCTTCAGAGACAAAGACATTCAAACATACACTGCTTTATAAAATGTTACATTTTTTAAAAAAGTTGTCCACCTATTATTTCAACATAAATAGGAAACTTAAGAGTGAAACAAGATGGGACTGATATGAAGAACAACAATTTTTTAAAAAATAGTAACAGATGCATATATGTAAAACAAATATATAGTACATTTTCAGCTTCAGAAATGCATTCTTTACTATGAAATGAAGCTAAAAACAAATTTAAGCCAACATTCCTTCAACCAGCAATGTATAATTTATGTTCAGATGGCATAAAGATTCGGAGGAAGTTTTGACATCATCTGAATGAAATATTATTTCCAGTGAGAGAGCAAAATGTAGGAATTTATTGACCAAACGCCTAAGTTTGACAACAAAATGAAAGTACTACATGGAAATACTTTTCCACCACTTTTACATCAAAAAGAAAATATTGTTCTTTGTTTAATCCAGATGCTGTAGCAGTGAGAAAGTTTTGCAGAAAGGCTGTCTTATACACAATACTTTTAAATTTTTATTTAGAGAGTTTGCAATCCAAAACCACACTGTCCCAAAAATCTTTTCAGTTTTTAGATAAATGAAGGCAAATCATAAATACTTTTAATTTTTCAGATTTTTTTCAGATTTGTCTACAAAACTCACAGCAAGGTTTTTTGTTAACAAATGTTAACACTACACAAGCTAGAACTCTCTTTACACTGGTGTAAGTGTAACTCTGTAAATAACAGCAGCAAATAACCGCTAATTAATGAGTTGCTGCTCACTTCCCTGATCCCTGATCACCCTAATCAGGCATGTAATTTGGTCCATGACAAAGAATGCAAGTAGCAGCATGTTAATTAACAGCAATTTGCTGCCATGGTTCACACAATTACATTTACACCAATGTACATTCCAAATAGGAACTTAGCCGGTGTGGTTAATAACTGGCAACAGAAATATAGTTGTGTGGCAAACCACAATGGAATTAAATTATTGCTATAATCCATTTATTCAATTTTTATGATTGCATCTGCCTATTTTTGTTTTTGAAAGTTAAAACAGTCTTTCCTAGCTTTACTTTCTAAATAATTTTCAGTCTCAATATGCTATAGTGTTTTTCCATCTGCCAATACGATCTTGAATTTAACCGTGGAAGAGAAAAGATTTTCAACTATGTGTGTATCTGTAGTTTTGTTTCTTTTGAAAAGTAGCTATTCAGAATATTTTTATTCTGAAATATGTCAGAATTGTTTCTGAGCTACATTTCTGTTCTGAGACTTGGAACTTTACAGTCCATTGATGTCACTGCAAAGTACCACCTTTCTTCAGCTGAAAACCAACCAGCCAGATTCAAAGAGATAAAAAGCCACCACTAAAGTGAATGGTTCTAAAGTTCAACTTGCTGTTCAAAATAAAAGTTCACTTGAACAACAGAAGGGGAATATGCCATCCTTCTTCACTTAGCTTATGTAAAAGCAACAAAGTCTAAAGCAGAGAGTCTCTCATCGGCAAGAGGATCTTCGCTTAAATTCAAACCCTGAAAATTCAGTTCTGAATTGCTCTGAGACCCTCCACATGTACAGAAGGTTCCCTGATCAGATTCATTACTTCATTTGAATAAAATGTTGACAGCTAGCATGATCTCTTGTCCTTGCCTAGTCAGTTAGCTTTGGGTCACCACTTATTTAAAATCTGGAATAAGGTACCATATACAACATGACTAAGAGGAAATATGCAGGAGTCAAGAATGTGTAGCCTTCCAGATGCTCTGGGATTATAATACCCACCAGCCTTCATTGCCAATACCAAGGCTAGATGAGGGTCGACTAACATTTGGAGAGCCACTTGCTCCCCAGACTGCAACAAATACTAGTATGTTGTCAATAGCTAGCACATGCAACTTACTGCGAATGTACTGGCTGGCTTTGAAAACTGAAGACACTTGTTGCCCATAATGAAAAATGTTGTTGGCATACATCATAAGACTGAAAAATGTAACAGCCTGGGTTGTCCTTCCAAAAATGAAGTAAGAAGATTGCAGTCAGACTAAAAGCAAGACTTTTAGTCATGCTGCATTATATAGTTTTCCCATGGAAATCAATGCAACATTATTTCTTCAATTAAAAAACATGTAATTCCTCCCTTTTTTTTCAATTGCCTGCATTCCAAAGAGGAAAAAAATGTTCCTGACATCTAAATAAAATAAAATCAAGAATGCTATAGATTGGTACACATAATACTCACTGTATGATACAAAATACTGTATATAATTTCCTTATAAATGGTTCAGACTGAGCTCAACCATTGAGGTTCAAAAAGGAAATCCTCATTATCAGCCGATGTAATGAAAACACTGGTAACAGGAATCAGAATTAGATGTAATTTTAATAGCCATCAGATCTGCCTAAGATACTGACATGTCTCTGACTGAATTCAGAATATCGACCTCAATTTTTCATCATCAGGAAGTGTCTGTGCTTCCCAAAACACCAGGATTTGAACGGCAAAGTGGAGACAAAGGCCAGATACAGTATTTGTGAGAAATACCATACCTTCTGACTTTTTAAAAATGGATGCAGTGGTCGGCCAATATACTATTTGGATCTGTAAAAGACATTTTGCAAACAATTTTTTTTTTTACAAACAAGATATATGCACAGAGGAGATCTGCAGAGGAAGAAAAAAAACAAAGAAAACTACCTCAGGACCAAGAGATGCATGAGCACAGCACAGCACTCTCCGGATTGTGCCTTGCCTTTTAAAAGAAGTTTCCATTTTTAGTTAAATGACAGAGATGGGCAAGTGGATCTTCACCACAGTTAAAAAGATTAAAATTTGGCATGACTTGTTCACAATCAACAAACACAACTGAGAAGCAGCTCACCTTTCCTATCACAGCCTTTAGAAGAAAAGCCTGTCCCGTGGGTGCAAAGTAACTGGAGGGGCTATGAAGATGATCCCATTTCTCTGAAGTGCAGCTCTGTTTGGGAGAAAGATTAAAAACCCTCACATTTCTGGGCTGTTTGAAATGACTATTTCTTTTGTAGATATTCTGCCTTATTTTCCTCCTTTGGTTACTGACTCCCACTGTGCAAGGGAGCAGCAGCAGCAGCAGCAGAATACCTTGACTTTTAAAACCTGGTAGAAATGCAGGTTTTAAAAGGACAAGGTATTTTAAATATGCACTAACTAAAAGGAGGCACAAGAGATACCTGGAGTATTATTTGTGCTACGAGTACCTTGCTAGAAATAGATGAAAGAACTTATTTAGGATGTTCAAAGAAATGACATCATAAATAGGGGTATTGAAAATACCAAGGGAGTATTATTTCAGTCCAAAGAACTGAAGAGCGGACAGGTATACCAAAGAAGCTGAACTTCTCATGAAAGGTGTAACAAAGCAGACCCTCCTCCCCCTGACTCCTTTTCTTTCTTTCTTTCTTTCCTTCTCTCTCTCTCTCCTCCCTCCCTCCCTCCTTCTTCCTTCCATCCTTCTTTCTTTTTCTTTCTTTTGTTTTCTTTTTTTGCTGTAGGATTCTTCCATTTTCTTCCTGTGCCACTTTCTCATGTATTCATTCCTAAATGTATTTATTTCACATTAATCGAAAATAAGTGTTCTATTATGCACACTGTTGCTATTTAAATATCTTTGAAAATACAGTGAATTTTGCCACAATTTCTAATTTCAGAAAAAGAGTTTCAAAATGAATTTTGTCCAGGGTAAATATTTCAAAGCTATTGTTTGAGCCTAGACTTACTCAGAGAAATGCAGGCTCTGAAGGATAATGGCAAAAACAAAAGAAAAATAATTTAAAAAATTAAGATGACCAAAACATTATGGCACCTTAATACCTAACTGCTATATTTTAATGTGGGCTTTCATGAACAAGTCCACTTCCTCAGAAGGAAAATGACGTTCCAGGCCACACAGTAATCCAGCTGTGGATCAGTTCAGTTTTACATTCAAATTCACATGGGCCAAACTCTCTATGAATTTCTAGTCCTTCCCAAATAGTCCTCCAGAAAAGAGAGCAGGCGAGTTCCTTAGTAAATTCAGTCTTCCCACAGAGGCATCCACCATATAGATCTTTCATTACTAGGTACAAGGCATTTAGTGAAGTCACAGTGGGTAGAACCAGACACAAAACTCTTGCACCATCATGGTGTGCGAGGTCAATGGATGTTTATTTTTTAAAAGGAGCATATACCCAGAAAAATCAACTTGAATCCATCCTGTAATCCAGGAAAGGCATAAGAGTCATTTCGTCTCAGCAATTCCACATTTCTATGGTTCACCATAAAGCCTCCTTAACAAACTTTTGAGGCAGCTGCCTCAAAAGTCAATTTGCCAGTTTCTTTTGCCAAAAGAGAATAGATTTTAATTTGTGGTAAGAATTATTAGACATTTGAAGCTCTGAAATAGAAATTCTAGAATAATGATCCAGAAGAACAAAGAACATCACAGTTGTCTTAAAATATTACAACTCACAAAAGAAACCAGATATTAAATCAAATAGAGGCAGCAAATAAACATGGGCTGCATGTTTTAGGCTGTTTTTACTGACTGCATTTTCCACTGTTTCCACTAACCATGAAAAGCAGCCATGAATTTTGGCAGTGCAGTAAAAGGAAAACTCCTTTTCTTCCTCCTCCTCCTCTGAAAAGACAGTCTAGAACAGTGGTCCCCAATCTTGGGCCTCCAGATATTCTTGGACTACAACTCCCAGAAGTCTTCACCATGACCTCTGCTGGCTAGGATTTCTGGGAGTTGAAGTCCAAGAACATCTGGAGGCCCAAGGTTGGGGACCACTGGTCTAGAAGACAATGTGCAGGGACCATAGGATGTTCTAGCACTGCCCTTTACCAAAGTTGCAAAAATTTTGGTGGCAGTAGCACAGGAATGGTGGTGATCCTCTGCCCCCACTTATGGGAAGCTGCTTACTTGCAACTTAACTGATAGGGAGGGAGGGAACAGGGAAATTCATAAGATGTTTATAAATAGCCCCAGGCCAGCTCCAGGAGAAGATCTCCACGAAGACTCTGCAGGATTTTTCAATGGATGATGCACATGAAAAATTTATACGGTGAGTAGTTAGAAAGGCTTAAAATAGACTTAAAGCTGCTTCTGCTTTTTGTAATTATTCCAATCTTGTAAAATGTCAAAAGACTTTGTGTGGCTCTGCTTGAAGTCAATAGTCATGTAATTGATTGGCTAGTATAATGTGACATCTGAAAAGGAAGGACACGGGGATTCCAAGCTAGAAGGGACCTTTAACTGCATACCTGCTGTTCCTCATTATCCAGAATTATTTCATCCAACTTTTCTGCAGTGAGGTGGACTACTGGTAGCCCATGAATGAGTTCTAAGTCATGAAACAATTTTTATCCTACTTTCGGTAGCCTTTGCTCAGTTTCAAAATTAAAGGTCAAATTTTAGAAAATGGCTTCTTGAAAGCAAAAATATTCTCAAAAATTATGATATTAGATTTTTTTTCAAACTCAAATGCTACACTTTATTTTGGATTTTTTGTTTAATAAAAATAACTAGCGATGAGACTACTATTCTTAATTCTTTAATATTTATTTTCAGTGCATATTAAACATAACATACAGGTAGATGCACTTAAATAATTAAATAAACAAGACTTTTTTTTCCTTGTGTTATTCAACCTGTACAGTTCATTGTTGCCCTTAAAACCCATATACATTAAAAAAAATTGGAAGTGAGTATTCAAGCACATCATCTCATTTCAGCTAGCAGAAAATGGTGCAAACACATTTGTGGCAAACAGTTGAAGGGGATCATGGGAACAGTCTGAAATCTTTTTCTATATTTGTACATACACTTTGCTGGCCATATTTCTCAGGCGTTGTCTGAGGAGCAGTCCAAGAAGGAACATCAAAAGGTTGAAAAGGCAATGGCTCAAGCAGAATTGCTTTTTCTCTCTCCTTCTGCCAGCATATTGGACAGCAAAATGGTACTGCATTGCAAAGGTTTGCTAGAAGCAGTGCCCATTCAAGATATCATTTGAGTTTGAATGGTGAGATTTTCAGGGTCCTTCTCCCTTTGACCCACTTGGCAATAAGGAAACGGGTTTTGAGTGTTTGCTGCTCTAAATAAACTTTCTTCTTTTTACATAGAGCAATGGGCTGGTGTGTGTGGGCAGTCACAGAATAAATAGAAACCCTTTGTTTGGAGTTTGGGATGGATAATTCCAACCATGCTACAAGGGAGGATGCTTGGAGTCACACCTCCTGGCTGATTTTACAACCTAAGTCTAAATTACTTGGAGTCACACCTTCTGGCTGATTTTACAACCTAAGTCTAAATTCACCTCACACAATCAGACTCAGAATAGATATCTGCCATACATTTTGGGTACTCTGACCTACTTTTTTTTTTTTTTTTGCACTCTCCATGAAGGGGTGGTGCACAGCCTGAAGAAGTGGGATTTTACCCACAAAAATTTTGCGGACTCTGACCTTTTTTTTTTTTGCACTGTCCATGAAGGGGTGATGCACAGCCTGAGGAAGTGGGATTTTACCCTCAAAAGTTTGCAATTTGCGTCATTTTTTAAAAATTGGTTCCATAAAGTTATCACTTTACTTTTCCATTTGTGTAATCCAGAACCACACAGCCTTTTCCTAATTCTTTCTTCTTTTTGATATTCGTTAGAGACATATAAAATACCGTCAGTACTTCTGAGAGTTTCTGTGAAGACAGCCTTGGTTGCCCACACATAGGGAAGCCATTTTACAAATGGAGTCAGTGAATCTTTGGTTTCATCCCAACATGAAGGCAACAACCCAACATCTAACTAGTTAAAATTTAACAACAAACTATGGCCAAGATCCTGCCTAACCAAACCACAGCTTCTCCAGTTTAGATTAAATTGGAAACTGTGATTTGCTAAAATGTGGAAGTAAATCTCGACATTGAAGTACGCAAGGAGATGGGGGGGAGAGAGACATACAATTCTGAAGTGTGAGCTTATCCATGCATACCGTGCCAGACCATGATTTGAAACAAGTTGTACAGTTCAACCCCCTAAAGACCTTTGCCTTCAGTAGGCTTTGGAATCTTGTAATGTGTGTAAAACTGTGGCCTGCATGTTTCTTTAATTTGAATTTAGTTTTAGAAATACACACTTTTTCAGTACAATCTTATACATTTCTTTGGACAAGTCCGTCCCACTGAGTTCAACTGCGCTTACTGCCAATAAAGTGGATGTACAATTATAATTTTTAAAAACTACCCTGCCTATTGGACCACTTCCTTTGTCTTTAGGTAGATTCCTAATGGCTGCGAAAACATTTATATAATCCAGCCATGTGAGTGAGGGCTGCTGCATATATCTTTCCAAAGTGACTGCAGCTCCTTTCCCAGGAGGGTGCCAGTTCTGTTGTTGGCAACCATAACCTTGGTCCCTGCTCACATGGGTGGGTTCATTTGAACCTTTCTCTTGCTGTGCACAATACAGTGGTACCTCGACTTATGAACTTAATCTGTATTGGAACAGCGTCCATACATCAAAAAGTTTGTAAGATGAGGCAAACTTTTCCATAGGAATGCATTTAAAACCATTTAATCCATACCTGCTGTTTTTCATTCGTATGTGCTGTTCGTAGGTAGAGGCATTAATTCCCATAGGAACTAATGCAAAGCTGGTTAATCCGTACTCTACCAATAGGGGGAGAATTTTTTAAAATTTTCTTCTTCTTTTGACCTAAGATGAACTTAGGTCAAAAAAAGGGCAGGAAAGGGTTTTTTTGGGGGGAGGGGTTGTTCATAAGTCAAGGCTCCATTCACAAGTTGAAGTAACTTTTTGCGAACAGAGCCGTTCATAACTCAAATCGTTCGCAAGTGGAGACGTTCGTAAATCAAGGTACCACTGTAGTAGCATCCATGCTGCTGCTTTTGAAGGAGTAGGCAATTCATAAAATATGATGCTCAACTTCCTTTGTGCTACTAAGGTGCTCTTCACAATCACCTGAAGCTGTTCTGAGAAGGATATATCCCTGGACAAATAATAAACACAGACACAACATTTTCCCCATGCATTCAGAAATCTGAACCTAAATGTAACCTTATCAGGACACACAAGATCTGTAGTTCTATGGACATTTCCATGGAAACTAAAAGGTTATAGATTCAGAAAGTCATCTTGTGAGGTTTTCATGCCATCAAACACTTGATGTATTTACATAAAGGACTCAAATGGCTTGCATGTTTAGATCATAGAAATACTAATACATAAACTTTATAGCAAAAAATATATACATATAATAATTCATCCTTCTATGGTTTATATAAATGATGCCTAGTATCATACGTGTGTGTACATACATGTTCATGTGCATTTGGGAAAAATTAGAGAGAGGAAGGGAGAGGAGAACAAAATGAAAGAGAGAAGATTGAGAGAGAGAGAGAGAGAGAGAGAGAGAGAGAGAGTTCCCTTCTTCACTTACCTGGATGAGAAAGTGGTTTAATGGGTAATGGGAGAGGGGCTTGTATACATTTCATCTATTGAGCTGAGGTCATAGAAATGAAGGATGATCTGCAGGAGTATGTTGGGTTCAGGATTTGGTCTAAAGTTTCATCATGTCAGGCATTCATACAGTGCTGTGTTGTCAGGTGACAAATCCTTCTACTATTTCCTTCATCCTGCAATGTCATGAATTCAGCAACTGAACTCCTTACATCTCTTTTTTTTCCTGGCATACACTGACACCCAGGTTCCCTCTAAAGTGTGCGCAGGCGTGGGCAACTCTGTCCCCCTCCGGGCAGGGCTCCTCTTCCCCTGTGCACCCACAGCAATCGTTTTCAGCCCCTTTGGTTCTGGTTGCAACAGAACTCCATGAGGGGCAGAGTCACTTGCATGCACAAGGGGCAGAGCCCCACCCAGTTGGACTGAAAATTAGAGGGAACGTTGACTGTGACACGATTCCTATAAATGCACACATGTATCATGTATGAACCCAGACCTGCATACATGCTTGTAGTAATATATATTTCCATGTACACATATAAATATATAGGCACACACGTATCCACCCTTTATGAGAACGCATTGCAAAGTCTGCCAAGAGTGCAGTCCATTGGTTGTGAGTTTTGCAAAGGTACCAGAGATACCAATTTCAAAGTCCTTGGGAATGATGTCGAATGTCACCGCTGTGGACACTGAATAGGTTTGATGCATCTTCCCTTGTGGTGAACCAAGTTTGCAGGACAGTGGCATCCTGCAATACATGGCTTATTACAGGGCCCAATCTCATTCCAGTTGTCGCAGGTTTTTACACATCCGGGACCACAGGTATCATAAACCGCACCATGCTTGCATTGGGTTGCTGGAAGATAGTTCAAAGAAAACTGAGTGTTACTCTGTGAAACGTACACATAGATTTTACATATCCAGCTGGTTGTTTCGTAACCACATTAAATCCTTTTAATTTCAACAGGTGTGTTGCAAGCATGACTAATTGTACCCCATCCTGTAGCTTGCAAATGTATGGCACCTCAGTGCTGTTATGTCTTTATCAGTGGGATACTGAAGTATTAAAGGAAAATATAAAGTTACCCTAACAGAGACGCTTCTGCTGTACTACAGCCAAATTATTTTGGCTCAACTACAGCAGACAGAATTAGATCTAAATTTTAGGTCAGCAGTTTTCACCTACCAGGATTTTGGAACAAAATCAGTGTAACACTGAAAATGTTACAGCAGGTGACAAATTATATTCATCCATCTTCTACTAACTTGCTCTGGCACATTTTCAAGTTGCTTTTTATTACTTTCCTACATGAGGCATTGATTAATTACAAACAGAATACAGAGAATGAATATAGATCAAAGATGCTCTCTGAGATCACTGGCTTGGATCCAGTGGACTGAATTTGTAATAAAGATTGATGTCTTTACTCATAGAATTGGTGCATTTGAAATTGCATATGAAGAACTGGAGTTGACTCTCCCATACTTGACCCATATCAGAGCTAGAAGTACATCCAATGCAGCTCTGTTCTCCTGCCGAGCATGGACTATACGGCTCAAAAATGAAAAACTTAGACATTAGTTCATAGCTATTAATATTTAAAACTGAATACATTTAACTTTGTTAAATTAACATTATTAGGGCATTAATTAAAAAATAGTTTGTCATTCCATACTCCGCTTCCCAAAGGGAAATCAGGCATGTTGTCTCTTTCAAGACAACATGTATACTAAATAGGCCCAATGCTGGCTCTGCAAATGCATCCAAACTCTAAAGAAGTCTTAGTTAGAAATTCCAAGAGTCTATGGCATTTCTTGGGGCTTGTGGAAAATCCTTAGCAATGGGGCCATGCAGATCATGCCAGATTTATCTTGAACAATGGTTGATGCTCTGTTCTTTATCTACAAATAACATTATTTTTCAGATATTATGCACTAGATATTGAAGCCAGTATTTTCTTGTTCTCCAGTGGCGGAAAGTCCTGTTGAACTGATTGGGTCCAATAGGAATCAGTCACTATAATCCCAGTAACTCCAACCACCTTTCTAATCAGGCTTGCATTTTTAGTCAAAACTTCTTACAATGTTATACTCAATAAAAGCGGTCAACTGGTTCTTTATAAAAGCAATGATATGAGATATGGAGGCAGTGACAGATTTTACTTTCTTGGGCTCCATGATCACTGCAGATGGTGACAGTAGCCATGAAATTAAAAGACGCCTTCTTCTTGGGAGGAAAGCAATGGCAAACTTAGACAGCATCTTAAAAAGCAGAGACATCACCTTGCCAACAAAGGTCCGCATAGCAAAGCTATGGTTTTTCCAGTAACAATGTGTGGAAGTGAGAGCTGGACCATAAAGAAGGCTGACCGCCAAAGAATGGATGCTTTTGAATTGTGGTGCTGGAGGAGGCTCTTGAGAGTCCCCTGGACTGCAAGGAGAACAAACCTATGCATTCTGAAGGAAATAAACCCTGAGTGCTCACTGGAAGGACAGATGTTGAACCTGAGGTTCCAATACTTTGGCCATCTCATGAGAGGAGAAGACTTCCTGGAAAAGACCCTGATGTTGGGAAAAAGTGAAGGCAAGAGGAGAAGGCGACGACAGAGGACGAGATGGTTGGACAGTGTCATCAAAGCTACCATTCAACTCTGGCCTTGAATCCTGTGTTTGTACTATACACATATAGACATTCTACCTTAAGTAGTTCCATCTTACTAATTGGAGAATGCTTGTCCTCAAATTACAGACCCGAATGTTTTGCTTTGTTATTAATCTTTTTAACTATAGTATAGTTTGGGGGTCTACCAGATTGCCAGGCTTTACATTCTTACCCCACAATCCTCATCAGTGGCAGTGAAGTGGTGACTCAACTGATAAGTATTCCTAAATGTTAAAGTAGGAATTACTCATTACACTGGAAACCTTTTATCTCGTGGTGACTCAACTGATAAGTATGCCTAAATGTTAAAGTAGGAATTACTCATTACTCATCACGAGGAAGCCATTTTCAACAGCACTCCCTTGGCAAAAGGCATGCTACCCCTCAGTTTCCTTTTGGATAGCTGGTCTGCAGCACGTTCCTATAGCCATTCACTAGAAAGAGTTAGTCAATAAAGTTTGGAGCAGAAACCCATCTACATGCATTTTAATTTCCTTCTCGTCTCAATCTTTCTCTCCCCGGCCCAATTCCCTAACTTCCCTCCCTTTGTTTATAATAAAAGTTTAACAATGAGAAGGAGAAAATTAGGAAACAAGAAGCATTGAGCTTTGTATTCTTCTGCTTTTATCTTTTGCCATTTCACATTTCAAGTACGGCTCATCCCAAATAGACCCTTCCCTCTTTTTCTTATCTAGAGTTTATGTTTCTAAATGGTAATGCTGCAATATACTAGGTTTAAAAATGTTTTATAGCAACAAAAAAATTATGTACAAAAGTAACCTTTAAACACATTTCTCCAGGAGGTTTGTAATCTCTCACTAATAGATGTTTTCCATTCCACTGACTGGCAGTCATTTGGCTTTTTAAAAATTCCACTAATATTTATTTACACAGTATGTATCCATGTTGAAAGCCCAAGTGTTAGCTCAGTTTTAAGCACGAAATTCTAAATTTGAATCCCACCCTCCTAAGTAATAAATTAACAGCGTAGGACCCCTGAGCACTTTTCCCTCTGAGCACACTTGTGCATGTTGGTGCAGTTCCATGGGACTTTTATCTTAGGCTGCTACCTGGCCTGAGATAAAAGTTGCCATGTTGTTGTTCCTTCAGTTTATTCAATCCACCTTCCAGTGCTTTGCTAATAAAGGCAAAGGTCAATAACTGAGAAAAATGGAACCAGAGTTAGAAAGAAATATAGATCACATTAATGATATCTGACACTGAGCTCATGCTTGGACTACTTTCCTTGTATTGTTCCTCTTTATTATAAAGAAAGATCATAACTTTTAGGGCAACTAACCAACTATTATTAGCTCAATGATTGACCCTTATCAGCTAATGTACCACCCATATAAGAGAATGCTATCAAACATTGTGTCACAATGTGTGCTTCGTGGTTATAATGTAGGCAGCAGCAAATAATATCCTCGTTCTCATCTCCTCTAATAACCATCAAGTCTTTTCTGTAAGTGCCTAGGGCACAACCCCAGTTGGAAAGTGGCATTTTGTATCTATCAATAATGAAAACAATCATGTTTGGTATCTTTAAAAACTATGTGAATTCAGCAGCACAAGGCACAATATAAACCAACACTTCAACCAGCCGCTCAGATGAGCGGGATACAAATCAAATCAAATCAAATCAAATCAAATCAAATCAAATCAAATCAAATCAAATCAAATCAAATCAAATCAAATCAAATCAAATCAAATCAAATCAAATCAAATCAAATCAAATCAAATCAAATCAAATCAAATCAAATCAAATCAAATCAAATCAAATCAAATCAAATCAAATCAAATCAAATCAAATCAAATCAAATCAAATCAAATCAAATCAAATCAAATCAAATCAAATCAAATCAAATCAAATCAAATCAAATCAAATCAAGACCATGCAATATTCTTCTGCTACCATTGAGGCTATATCTCGATAATTATGAAAATTAACTAAAATGTGAGGATGACAAAACTTGAGAAGATACTCAGCTCATATTTAGTTACTAGTACTTTCTCAGGTGATGAAAGATATATGCTTGTCACAGAACATGTTTCCCCTTCTTTCTGTATTTTGTATTTAATCTGCTTTTTTCAATTTTGCAATTGGCCACTAGATGTTAAACACCTTAATTTGCCAGTCTCTAGTTTTTAGAAGGAAAAACAGGCTAATTTAACTAGTTTGCAAAATATGAGGTTATAGTTCCTTCAGGTGCAATTGTAACATAACACAGTATGTACCTATTAAAAAGTAATTAGTTGCATCAACTAATTATTTGTATCAAGCTTTGGCTATCATCACCACCATCCTCACTACAACAGAGACCTAGGGAGACTTTTTTCTGGGTCTCTTTGCACACAGTTTGCACAGAAAAATCCAGGCAGAGATGAGTCCATTCCAACCACCACCAAATTTTTTCAGAGTAGAACCAGACTGTTCCTCTCCTCCCTGCTTATTTGCAAGCTCTTGGGCTTAAATAATTAGGAGATGGCAGGGCTCCTTCAATCAATGAGCAAAATAGATGGGGATCAGCTGTGTATTGCTTCCACTGGTTCTCTCCCCCCCCCACCCCATGCCTGCTTTCCCTCCTTCCTCTGAAGGCAGATGTTACAGCTGTGCTTCCACATAAGCTCAAAACAGGGCAGGAAATGTTAGTAATCAGCTGGCCTATTTCTGCACTAGAGCACTGTGATTCTTCCACTAACCACTGCACCATGCGGAGTTAGACAAGTGAAATAGGTATCTGACAGCAGAGTTTTACAATTGGCTTGTTAGTACAAAGTTGCTGGAATTTTACTTGTCAGACATGCTTCCTGTGCTCTCTCCAAAGAGCAGAATGCAAACCGGCTGGCCACTGGATTTCAGCACCTGGTAACTATTTATTGATCCTTGTTCTCTTTCTTTTTCTCTTGCTGGCACTACAATACTGCAATAAAGTTAACTGCTGGATCATGCATTCAGGATAGGACTGCATGACATGCATATGCCAAAGGGCTATTTTCGGCTAAAGAAAAGCAGCTGTGGGAGGCGTCCTTAACCCATTCACTTCGCCCTTCAAAGCCAGCGTTTTAAACCACGAAACTGTGTTGCCATGTACTATGAAGGAACAGTGGAAAAATTGTGATTTGAAATGGAAAAGGAGGGAGCAAAAGTGTTCCAGATTTCATGTAGTCTCTGTAACTCAACCATCTACCATTGCTATGAAGAAGTTCAGTATAATGTACTTACCAGCACAGTTTTGTTGAGGTTTCCAGTGGACTTTCAGGCCTTCCCTCTCACAAGCTCTGGCATAGGCTAAGAAGGACTCACAGTAGCAGTTTTTATGACCAGGGCACTCACACATGTCTGTTATGCAGGACCTGCAGAAAACACAATAGTAGACATGGAGAGCAGTGAACTGAGGGAATTAGAATCTTGCTTTTGCAGATGGTGAAAACTGGTCGTGTTGGCTTGGATCCTCAATTCCCCTTCCTTCTTCAGATCTTTGTGCTCTGTGTAAATCGTTTGTGAGGGACCTTTGGCATACAGTGGACCCTTGACTTACAGATGGCTTGACTTACAGACTTTCTGAGTTACAGACTTCTCTGGCCGCAAAATTTAGGTTTGACTTGCAGACTGAGATTTGATTTACAGACCAGAAAAAAACCAAAATGGAACAAAAATGGCCTGTTATGGGATTAATCGGTTTTCAATGCACTGTAGGTCAATGGAGACTTGACTTACAGACTTTTTGACTTGAGAACCGCCTTCCAATACGTATTAAGTTCTCAAGTCAAGACCCCACTGTATATTGGTGGAGGGGATATACATGGATGGGAGGTTGGTGGAAACCAATCTCAAATAATCTGCGCAACAACTTGGGATCCAAGCTATTATATTTACATTTCTGCTACACTACTGCTTGAATTATGTCACACAGCAGGTTTACAGCTACCCAAAAGGACTGCTTAAGAAGTTAGCCTCGCCCACCCCCATACTTGGGAAATATGGAACATATCCATACACTTTCCCTTTCTAGCTGCGGAACTTTTGCCTCTTCAACATCAGATACAGCCCACAGGGCCAAAAAAATAAAGTTTGTGCCCCAAATGTTGGACTGTACTTTTAGCTCTATCCACCACAGTGACTGGGGAAGGATGATAGGACTTGGGTCCATCAACATCTGGAGGGCCATGAGTTACCCAATTTTTAATGGCATCTTATTTGGCTGTAAAATGTTAGCATAAGTGTCCTCTCCTTCCTGAGCAATTAGTGAGGGCAACAATAATCTTATACAAAGTCTGCAAGGTATTTATTTTTTGACAACAATAAAGAGTAAATTTATGTAATTCACCAAACATGATTTTATACAAATAATTCTTCATCCAAATAACACACTGGCCAAAATCCTATTATTATTTTATTTAGTTATTTGTCTTATTTGTAGGCTGCCTTTCTCTCAATAAGGAACTCAAGATGGCTCACGATATTTTAAAAAAACTGGAATTAAAAACACAATCAATTATACTTTAAAAAACAATTAAACTGCAAAACTGATGTATTAGTTATCACTTGCACCCGCAAGCATTGCAAATGGTGTAACCTTTGGAGGTGAACTGTCACAAGTTTAAGACATCAGCACAGACATTATCTGTTGCCATCTGAATCATGTGACTTAGCACACAACAAATAATGTTTGCCTTTATAACTTGCACCAATTCATTATCAATAGATCCACTGTTTGCATTACGCTGATAAATTTTTTTTGACCATTGTTCAGTTTGATATACAAAATGATAGAAGATAGACAAACCTCTAGTGAAGTAGTTGTTGAAATGATTCATCAGTAACATAACCCACCAATATCAGGCAAAATCCATGAAAACACACATACACAAAAATCCAAAAAAAGACAAAAGCATGTGGCATCTTAATGATTAACCATTATATTTTACTGTAAGCTTTTGTGGACAAATCCACTTCATCAGACATTAAGAGATAGAATGAAATGGAATGAAATGTAGATAAAATATCAATTTCACATTCTAAATATTCATTGGTTACATGCAGTAATTAGGACTATGTTTGTTTTACAGTCCTGTTGTAAAAATTCTTTATGTCATTATAAAGAAAAGCCTCTGAGCAAGAACTATACTGTGTCTGCATACTGAAAACTGCATAGCTCAGTACGGCCATAAAGCAATTATTGAACAGCAACAGATTGCTTCTTTACACTACAGTACAGCCTTGCAAGATGAATTTAATTCATTCCGCAGTTAATGTTGTCTTGCGAAAAATTCATCTTGTGAAACGCGTTTTCCTATAGGAAATCTAATTAATGCGTTCCTATGAGCAAAAAAAGTCAGAACAAAGTCAAATTTGGTTTACAAAGGGTTTACTAAGTGCTCTTTAAAGCCATACATATTGTGCAAATGACTTTAAAAATTTCAATCAAAAAACTTTAACTTTTTAAACATCATAGAAAAACATTTAAAAATCAGCAAACATGAGGTAGGAACAAAAAACGGAAAATATTTGTCTTGTGAAGCATGACCATAGCAACATTTGTCTTGCGAGTCATCAACCCCATTGCCAAAACCATTTGTTTTGCGAGTTTTCGTCCTGCGAGGCATTTGTCTTGCGAGGCACCAATGTATTATTAAATGTCAATTAAAGATGAAACTAGGGGTGGTACTACAGATAAAGAGATTACATGAAATAGCAAAAGTAGGTGAAGTAGGTAAAGAAGTAGCAGAAGTAGCAGAAGTAGGTGAAGTTTACTTCAAATAGATGAAGTAGAGGTACTTTTAAACAATATTTTGGAAAAAAAGCTTTAAGTAATATTAAGATGAAAGCTGTGCAGTCCTTATACACAATCAAAGGTGAGGACAAATGATATCTTTATTAGATTACTAAAAATGCATTCACAGAAACTACCATTCATCATACTGGGCATGAGAGGTTTGTGTATATGGTGCAGAAAAAAGATTTAGTCTCAAAATTCATTATTGCATGTGTAAGCCAGGTTTCTCTGCTTAAAACCCATTTCAAAATTAGTTTCATGCAGTTTCAAAAGATGTAGGTTTCAAAGGTAATAATAGGTGGAGGAAGCTGATGTAATATGAAGAAAACATGCAGGCATTGGTTCCCTCTAGTGTTCAATATGCAAAATGTCAGATCATGATATTTTCCCCAATACATCTTTGTTGTTTTTGCATTCCATCAAGTCATCTCCAACTTATGGCAATCCCATGAATAAGGGATCTCCATCTTAGGATTGCTTTAATTGCCTTGTATCCTTCAGAAAGCATCATGAGAACATTTTGATATAGGGGGAAAATGCCAGCCAGGTGAATTGTGACATGAGTCCTACATCTATTGGGGGTGCATGTAAAGATGAGTATTTGATGGCAGAAAGTGAGGAGGAATTAAAGAACCTCTTAATGAGGGTGAAAGAGGAGAGTGCAAAAAATGGTCTGAAGCTCAACATCAAAAAAACCAAGATCATGGCCACTGGTCCCCTCACCTCCTGACAAATAGAAGGGGAAGATAAGGAGGCAGTGACAGATTTTACTTTCTTGGGCTCCATGATCACTGCAGATGGTGACAGTAGCCATGAAATTAAAAGACGCCTTCTTCTTGGGAGGAAAGCAATGGCAAACTTAGACAGCATCTTAAAAGGCAGAGACATTACCTTGCCAACAAAAGTCCACATAGTCAAGGCTATGGTTTTTCCAGTAGCAATGTATGGAAGTGAGAGCTGGGCCATAAAGAAGGCTGACCGCCGAAGAATTTATGCTTTTAAATTGTGGTGCTGGAGGAGACTCTTGAGAGTCCCCTGGACTGCAAAGAGAACAAACCTATCCATTTTGAGGGAAATCAAACCTGAGTGCTCACTGGAAAGACAGATCATGAAGCTGAGGCTCCAATACTTTGGCCATCTCATGAGAAGAGAAGACTTCCTGGAAAAGACCCTGATGTTAGGAAAGTGCAAAGGCAAGAGGAGAAGGGGATGACAGAGGACAAGATGGTTGGACAGTGTCATCGAAGCGACCAACATGAATTTGACCCAACTCTGGGATGCAGTGAAAGACAGGAGGGCCTGGTGTGCTCTGGTCCATGGGGTCACATAGAGCCAGATATGACGTAATGACTAAACAACAACAACAAAGATGAGAAGCCATGACTTTCTAAAACATGGATGTAAAGCCAAATGAGTGTTTATGTCAGTTTGCCACATATTAGGATTCAAATTGCATTTCCTTGCATTTTTCATTCTGTACATAGAAATGATGTCCATGTAGTGAATCAGTTGCATCTGAGACAGCTCTTTGAAGCAAAAATGTATTCACAGGAGCCAAGAAACATTCTGTGATACGTCCATGTAAAGTTATTCAGACATGCAGAAGCCTCTCATCTTCTAATGAAAATATTTCTGCCATATGACTCAAGTCCATGACTCAACTCACTAGATACTTGGTACATTTTTGTGTAATACTGATGTGAAGTCTCCACATGCATACAAGAGAAGTAGATAAATCATGCTACTATGTATTACCATGTGCCTAAGGTAGTAGCATTGAGTCGGTTCATTACAAGTAAAAAAACAAAAACAAAATATATTTGAAGTCTGCTTGAAACATGGAAATTGTTGGTGAGGATTGGTCCTAAAACTATTGTTCCTGTACTGTTAGGGTTTTCTTTTTCCTTTTCAGTATTTGCAAAATGTGCAAAACGTAGGACATATCATTTGATCAATCTGACTGAGTAAGTTGCAGAGGCAGAGACTGGGAGTTTAATTCCTCACAGTGCCTTCCGGAAGCAGAACCACCCTGTGTAGATTTGGGCAAGCTGAACAGTCCCAGGGCACCCCTAGAAGTAGGGAAAGAGTACATTATACCATGAGCACTCTGGGAAGGATTATCATGATTTGGAATCAATTTGATGGCATGTACTGTAATTATTATTGCTCGCTATAAAACCTGGATTTAGATAACCTGGAGGCATTGTCAGATTCCCAAATCTTTATTTCCTTTCAGACTTCAAAGCAGGTGGTAGAGCACTGGGGGGTGAGGAAGAGAGGGACTAAGGTTGTTTTCTCTCTCCCTTTCCTGCCATTTTCCTATGCAAACCTCCTTCTCCTCAGAGCTCAGCAATAATTAGATACCTATTTGTAGTTTGACACTTGTGGCGCTGTGTGCTAAACTGCAGAAGCCTCTGTGCTGCAAGGTCAGAAGACCAGCAGTCATAAGATCGAATCCATGCGACAGAGTGAGCTACCATCACTTGTCGCAACTCTTGGCAACCTAGCCGTTTGAAAGCATGTAAATGCGAGTAGATAAATAGGTACCACCACGGTGGGAAGGTTACGGCGTTCAGT